TGAGGAAAGTGAAGTTCGACCAGGGACCAGAGTCACATGTGTACCTGGGGCTACAGCACTTATATAAGACCATCGCAATAAAAGACCATCACAATAAAAGCATAAGACCATCACAATAAAAGTAAGACAACTCTCCATTTCTCCGTGTTTCTGTTGACCCAAATAATAAAAAATGAACCGCATTGAACTGGGTTGTTTGATATTTCAGGCTGGTGCCCCATTCCTTTTTTTATGAATTTTTATTGTGAATTATCTTAGATTGTTAACTAGTCAGCCTTTGTTGCTACTGAGTATCTACCTCCGGAATCACCTGGATGACGCACCGTTGATGAGTCCTATCTGCATGTTGATGTTATCACATCGTTATGTGGGAAACGTAAGATCGAGCATGCCACCTAAAACTAAAACACTAAATATATGTTTGTGTTCAAAAATGAGGAATCCTGATGAGACAGAAGTGACAGCAGTTCTGCAAAGAGGTGAGATACTAAGTACCAGGTGGACACTTGTTTATGGCCTCATAGGCCTTGAAGGTTTTGTTTCCCCCTCTGTGCTTCTTTGAGGACTTTCATGAATCCGGTCTTTCTGGTGTTATAAAAGGGACAGTTTGATCGGAGAACGGGAGTTTGTTGGACCGGAGACTGTGGTTCCTTCGGGACTCTGGTCCTGACACCTGCCGTGGCCCTGCTTACGCCTGCTGCTGCCATCATCATGATTATTTTAGATATTAATCATGTTACTGTACTCGTAAACCAACATTACCCTCTCCTTAAGTCTCTGTGCTCTCCCTCCCCACAGGCTTCTGTGGATGGTGGTTCTATCTGATGGTGGTTGCCCCTGCAGTGGTCCTGCTGTGCGCCTGGCTTACTACAGTTACTTGAATCATTTCTGTCATAGGAATTGCATGTATTATACATTGTTCATTCTGTACACATGGCATCCATTGTAGTCTGTCCATCCCGGGAGTGGGATCCCTCCTCTGACGTTCTCCCTAAGGTTTCTTCCCTTCTTTCCCTCTTGGAAGGTTTTTTTTTCGTTTTTTGGGGAGTTGTTCCTGTGCCGATGGAGGGTTTCGGGACAGAGGATGTTGTATGTGTACAGACTGTAAAGCCCTCTAAGGCAGATTTGTAATTTGTGATTATGGGCTATACAAAATAAAATGAATTGAATTGAAATTGAATTGATAGAGAAGCTTTAGATCAAGGCCTGAGGAACGAGTCTGACCGTTTTTCCAGGATCTCAACACTTTTATCCGTTTTTGTTCAGAATTGAGACTGTTATCCTGTTTTATCTGTAACTCTTTATAATCAGGTTTTTTGTTCTGAAGTAAATAAAACAGAGTTCGCTCTGAGCCTCTGAAGATTTTCTGAAAAGTTTCTTCGAGACCCTCCGGCGAGGGGGCCGCGCAGCGCCCGGCTGAGGCGACTCCACTACGGACACTCGCACCCGCTCACTCCTCACCTCATAACCAGCGGGGGGGACAGAGACGTCTTCAGGAGCTCCGGGCCGGACCCGTGTTGCTTGGGGAACATGCAGTGGTCCGCTGTTGAGAGTGGGTGTATGAACCGTATTTGTCCAGGAGGGGGCGCTGTTGCGCCTCATATGTCATGGAGTCACATGTCACTGATGACTCCACTACGTATGAGGCCTAGTTTATGCTTCTGCGTTTCCAGAGAGACACAAGGACCTGCACACGAGCCCCTTGCGCGTCTTTTCACACCTGCTGTCGACCCATTTTTCTAGACTTGCGTCAGAAGCGTCGTGAGCCTCCCGTCATTGGCGGACTATGAGGACGCGCACATGGCCTCTGATTCATGGAGGGAGATCTCCACAAACGTCGGTTTGCCGGTCGAGGGGAACAAAGTTGTGGAGGAAAATACGGGACAAATGTGTCCGCGATGAAAAGCAGCAGTGTCGATGCACGAGGCAATAAAGTCTATGATACATAAATAAACAAACCAACGACTTCCACACAAAGACGTGACTCTCTGGGTCGTCTTCGACAAAAACACGTTACTCCGCCTGTTGTTCTGGCGGTGAATTACTCTGCAACACACGCAAGACTTTTAGAACCATGACTTGAAACGAGTGCGTCGACGCAACGGTGCGTAAAGACGCAGAAGCACGCGCCATCCTTAAGGGGGATGGTCACCCGCGCTCTGCACCTGACTCATGGAGAGCAGCATGTCATGCACCCATAGATACATATAAAGTATATTTTATATTCATATATATACAATATATGAATTTTGTTTGGATGAATCTTACTAATGTGATGCAGGAGGAGCATGTGGACATACGTTCCCTGTGATCTCTAATATTTAATTAAAGAAATGACTGTAGGAAACACTGTTTAGAAGTTTATTGATGCATAAAAAGGGTAAACACAAACAGGTTAAGATAAAATACAAACAGCACCTGTTAAAACTCTTAAAAAGACCAAGATAAACATTTACTTTAATCGTTTAAATGAAACCATTACTTCATATTGAGTAATATCACCAACATTCTGAAGCTCAAAGACGTAAAAACTACTTTTTTCCGTTTTTCAAACAAGCCTCCGAACCAGCCTTCAAAAAAGCTTTAAAAAACAAAGTGACTGAGGAGATGAAATGATATGTACAGTAAACACTCAACACAAACATTTCAATAAGTAAATGTAATAAAAAACTTTTAAAAACATATGATGTATTTCCTTTAAATCATCTTTTCATGGGTTAACTACAAAATACTGTCTCATATCAGGAAAGAAGAAGTTGACACAATATTTACTCAGAAAGACAAAGAAGTGGTTTTTCATGTCGTCATCCGTTCCCCTGGTTCTGTCCATGCAGATGTTTTTATCCATCTGATAAAAGAGATTAAAGGTTATTTAAGAGTAACAAGTGTTGTGATTGACCTTTGCTGACTGCTGGTAGTAATACACAAGTACACTCAGATTGTACTACTTGATGTGGTAGATTACAGGGAGAGGTGGGGGGGGGGTTGGGGATGGAGGGGAGGTATCTTGCGTCCAGATGGCTCCACCCCCGAGCTTTATATGGATTTCTTGCCTAACGAGGAGAGGGTGGGAACAGTTTAGTAATTAAGGAGTGCATAAGAGGGGGAACAAACACAGGGAGGAACAAGAAGTGACGTGACGTGGTTTTGCAAAGTAGCGAGAAGTAGATTTACCCAGTGTAAGATTAACAGGGTTGACCTGGACTGGCTGACTACCCTCCCGTGTACTGAACTGTTTGGAAGAGGACCCGCTTGTGTGTGACCTGGTAAAAGAAGACGAGAACTCCTTGGGAAGGGTGATGCTGTGTTGAGCTTATCCTCCTACACAGTCAATTATTCTAATTAAACGGTGTTCAACTGTACCCAGTAGCCGGCTTGTGTTCTTGAACAGTGATGTGGAAACCCACACCCATGTGATTGCCACAATGGTCTGTTGTACTGTACCTGCAGCTGTTTCCATCCTCACATTTTCATAAACGCTCTCCTCTGGTTCATCATTCGTCCCTGTTAGAAGGATCAGATGAATGCATGAAGAGACACTTTATTCTCCTTTATTAAAGCTCTGCTGGCCTACAAAAGCATCTCAACTACTGCAGCTTGTTCCCTTATAGAAGTATTCACATGAACCATCAATGTCTTTAAGCTCAAACACAGAATCTGTGACATCATCGATACACTTTGTCTTTAATTTAAAGGACGGTCAACCAGTCACTTGATCATCTGATTCTAGTATTTTAACAGCTGTGTGATGAACACACAGGATTTACTGCACCATGTTCAGGTTCTTCAGAGCCTCCGATTGCTTCATAGAGACAAGAATCACCTGCAGAGCAGTGAGGATAAAGACGAGGTCGTATCAATCATTTGAACCACTTTGTATCAATTATAGAATCTTCTCAAACAGATAACCAGAAATGTAAATGTTAGCATTAAAGTTAAGAAGACATTATTAAATAAATCAGGATTAAAGCTGACCATGAAGAAGAGAAGCGTAATGTCCGTCTTGAGTTTCACCCTGGTTGATCATGTGGTCTGTAGCTGGGCTCTGATTGGTCCTCTGAGACCTTGTGGGTCCAAAACATGAAGTAAATACAGAGGATTTAATGAGGAACATGTAAAGTCCTGCTGCCATGTTCAGAGTGAGAGAAGAGAGGCTTGTACCAACCTGCTGAGGCTGGAAGCTGCAAGAAAAAGGTTTCACATTGATCATTAATTAGTGTGTGTAATAATATCTGTGACTTTGACTTATTTCAGTGAAATCAGTCTGATATCAGAAGGAAAAGATCTCACCTTCTGACTTTCTGTAGCGACGCAGAAACAGCAGCAGGAGAATAATCAGTAAAACTCCAGAAACCAGACCAACAACCAACGGCACGAGAAACACAGAGCTTGATGCTGCTTCTTCAGGATCTACACAGAAGTACACACCAACCATGAAGAGATACACAAGTAACAATAATAGTACAGTTTATTTATAACACACTCTTCATCAACAGATCTCAGAGTGTCACAGAGCCAGAAAAACATACTTAAAACAAAGTAAAACTAGTAAAAACACAGGTACTAATGTGTTGTAGTGCTAAACAAGTACTACAACACACACTCAAATACACAAACATGAACCCTTGATCACACAACATTCACCTTTCACTGCTGGTCATGTTACATCGCTAATATTATGTGTTTTTACTGAACATGAACATCTTTAAAACTATATTGTCTCACACAAACAAATAGTTTATCTTAAGATAACTTCTAATTCAGTGACACCTTTTCTCACTCAGACTGTAACACATGTTACAAAACTCGTACTCACATTTCACTGACAACCAGCTCTCTGCTGAGGTCAAAGTCTCCAAACCTTGAGGTGATTTCCTTCCTCTACATTTATAAAAGCCTTCATCTGACTTATTAACTGCAGAGATAAGCAGCTCCCCTCTGACAGGATTTGGGATGAGTTTGTCATTTTTATAGAAATCCACATTATAAAGAAGGTTTTCTGTCCTCAACTTGCAGCCAAGAGTGACGGAATGTCCCTCAGTCACAGAACGGACAGGACTCACCAGGACGACATCACCTCCTGTAAAGAGACCAGAGGACAGGAAGTCAAACAAGCTGATGAACAATGAGGAGAAGACATTTATAGTTTACATTTGTTATTCACATTCACACAGTAGCTGAGCGAATAGCTGCATTTCATGGATGGAAGAGACGGCCCTTTGGTGACGTACATGCTCACAGTTACATCTTTAATTAATGCTCAATATGTCGGGAGACAAATGTCCACTTAGTGGCAGTGAGCTACAGAATGGTCTAAAAGGTACTAAGTGAGCAGATAACTCTACAGCTCCTCCTGGTTTAAAGTCAATGGTGGATGTCAATGGTCATAAAGAGGAAAGTAAACCACAAAGACGTGTTGGATAATACTGAGAAATGATACTGCAACAAACTAAGATTGTTGAATCGTTTGTTCAAATAAATATTGAGTTAAACTCATCATGAAGTCACCTTAGAAATGTCAGCACTCTGTAATAAGATGTGTAAATACTTTGCATGTTCTCTCTGTGTCTGTGTGGGTTCTCTCTGGGTTCTCCAGCTTCCTCCCACAGTCCAAAGACATGCGTTGGGGATCAGGTTGATCGGTAACTTTAAATTACCTGTAGGTGTGTGAATTGTTGTGTTTCTCTGTTAGCCCTGTGATTGGCTGGCAAACAGTCCAGGATGAACCCTGTCTAATTCCCAAACTCGGCCGGGATACACTCCAGCCCCCCTGTGTGCAGGATAAGTAGTTTGGAGATGGTTGGAAATCTTTTAATTAAATTATACAAGATATCAGGGATTTACAAACTAAGATTGTTGAACCGTTTGTTGAAATAAATATTGAGTAAAACTCATCATGAAGTCACCTTAAAAATGTCAGCACTCTGTAATAAGATGTGTAAATACTTTAGATATAAAAACCTTTAAATGAATATAAACTCACTGTGTATAGTGATGTTGGCTGCATTGCTGGACTGTGTTTTAGACTCACACCAGTACACTCCACTACTCGCTCTAGTGTCGGTGTTGCATGTGGATCCAGTCATTTCTCCCCACTTAGAACAGGATGACACGTCACCATCTTCATCAGCCTTCATCACTCTCCACTCAGCAGAGTTTCCCTCACAGATCAGTGACAGTGACTCTGTGCTGAAGTGCTGCAGTCTGTGAGGACTCACTGTGAGAGACGCTGCTGGATTCACACCTGAAGACACATCATTAGGAGACACACACAGGACAAACAATGTCAACACAAAAAGGATATTTATTCCCTTGTGCAAGAATATAAAAGTCTGAACAAACTCACCTCCAGACCAGACAAACTTCAAACGACTAAACTGAGTGTAAAACACAGGATCTCCTCTTCCAGCTCTGCACACATATCCTGCTGTGTGTGTCTGTCCATGAAGGGTGTAGGAATTCTGTTCAGTCCCAGTGGTGCCACCAGCTAGAAGCTTAAAGGTGTAGTAGTCTGACTCTTTGGGAACAGCCTTATACCAGAAGAACCTCCATCCTGCAGACGGAGGTCCAACACTGCAGGTCAGAGTCACTGAGTCTCCAGGACTCGTCCATGATGGAGACACTGTGAGGACAGGACGAGGGACATCTGTTGGAAAGAGGTTTGACAGAATAAAGACGTGTTATGATGAGTTCTTGGTGGATTACTGTCACTGCTGATGTCCTCCATCTTTTTATCTGTCTTCATGTGTTAAACAGGTGTTTGGGTACAATGTCTTTAAACATAGTAACTAATCTCACATTTCAAATATTCTATTTCAGATTCTTTGTCCTTAAATCTGCACTTGTAAGAGCTCCCATCAGACATCAGAGAAATGGTGATTTCATGTGTGTGTTGATGGTTTGTGTCCATCTCAATAAGTGTTTTGTCTTTGTAGAAGTCAGCATTCTTCTCCTTTCTCTGGTCTCCATGTCGACAGTGAAGAGTCACTGATTCTCCTTCATACAAGGAGGACGCAGGAGTTAAAGGATCACATCTCTGTCTGTGTAACAGTTATTCTTTACTTTACTAAATCAGTTTCATTAAATGAACAATGATACAAGATATCAGGGATTTATTTTTCCTATATAATTATAATTTAACATAAAGTTGCAGACAGAAGAAGATGTCAAAGTCAGTCTCCCTGTAATAAATAATAAAATCTTCACTGAGTAATGAGAACATTTCACCTGAAGGAGGCGCCACACTCTGCTGATGTGTTTGATCCACTTGTGTTATCAATAATAAATCAATAACTAATTTATAAATTGTCAATTTCTCATTCAGTTACTACTCATTTAGTTACTACTGAATGAGTAATTCCAGTCAGTGTCATTTCCTTCCCTTGAGTCACATATGAAGGTAACTTTCTCTCCAGTAAATAAAGGGGACCAGTTTGGCTCAATATGTAGCAAAGCATCTAGAAACAAACACAACATGCAAAGAATGAATCTTGTCTTCTGTCTTGTATTCATCATAAATGAACTAAAGAGAAATATTAAATGTAAAATAGAGATAAAAGGTGTTGAGTCGTCTTGAGTGAAGGTATCAAAATAAAGAAAGTTGTATAGAAACCTTGAGCGTGTCCACAGTAGAGGAGAATATTCAGCGCTAAAATAAAGTGAGAAACATCATCAAACTGACAGAAACTGTTAACTTCTGGCATTTAAAAAGTTGTATCTATGAAAACTATGATTTAAACAGAGAAAGTACTCACAGAAAAGCCCCAACGCACCAAACAAGGTGTGTCCCATCCTCACGTCCACGCTGACACTCAGCTTGTGAGAAATGATTCCGCTTCGTGTCAAGAGACAGTTTGAAAGTTGTGAAACATGCAGAGAAATGTGGAAATGCAGAGACCACAGATGAACATCAGATGTGAGGTTTTCTTTAACCTCTGCTTCTGTTTATAATCTTTATTTTAAATATATCCAGTGACCCAGAGAAAAGTGTTCTATCATTTTAGAATGACTGATATAAAAACCCTTTGAGATAAAGACCAGACCAAAATAAATCCACCCACTTTTAATTAGACTCAAATATAATGAGTGAGCCATTTTATTTGATCAATCATAAGGTTCCTTTTTGTGCATCAAAGTGTCATTCAACTCTAACAGCAAAACACAGCAGCAGGAGGATGTGGTGCATTCTGGGATTCCTCTTTCATCACAACTGAACTGCAGCCTGAGACGTGTAAATTAAAGTGAAAAAAAGCTGTATTCTTTTTTTTGGGGTTGTTCATCTTTTTTGTATATTGCAATAGACGTGTTGCTTCCTGTTGTGTGGCGTCACATGACCACATTCACACCAGGGCTCATCCGTTTCTGTAAAGGTGTGATGTATAATATGTTTTATACAGACTTGTGCCTGAGACACATTGAAAAAATAAAAAAATGATTGACACAGGCAGACGTGTGGCTTCTTTTACATTACATTACATTACATGTCATTTAGCTGACGCTTTTATCCAAAGCGACGTACAATAAGTGCATTCAATCATAGGGTACACACTCAGGAGAACAAGAAACAAGAAAGTGCAATTTCCTCAAATAAGCCAATTTACAATTTAATATAGATGAGTGACGTTACAAGTACAATTTAAGTGCTACAATTTGTTAGTCTTTAGTCGAGATAGAGTCTGAAGAGGTGTGACCTGGTGTCTTCAGAGAGCTCGTTCCACCATTTCGGCGCAAGGACAGCAAAGAGTCGATATCTAGTCGAGTGTTTTGCTCTCAGTGAGGGAGGGACGAGTAGTTTTGCAGATGCAGAGCGGAGAGTGCGGGTTGGGATGTAGGGTTTGACCATGTCCTGGATGTAAGCTGGACCCGATCCATTCACAGCATGGTACGTGAGCACCAATGTTTTGAACTGGATGCGGGCGGCCACCGGTAGCCAGTGAAGAGAGCGGAGGAGTGGAGTGGTGTGGGAGAATCTCGGGGGGTTGAAGACCAGTCGAGCTGCTGCATTCTGAATGAGCTGCAGAAGTCGAATGGCGGTGGCAGGGAGAGCAGCCAGGAGGTAGTTGCAGTAGTCCAGGCGGGAGATGACAAGAGCCTGAATCAGTACCTGCGCTGCCTTCTGAGTGAGAAGGGGACATATTCTCCTGATGTTGTAGAGTGTGTATCTACAGGATCGCCTTGTCGCGGAGATGTTGGGAGTCAGGGAGAGTTGGCTGTCGAGTGTGACGCCGAGGTTCTTAGCGGTCACAGTGGGTGTTAGCAAGGAGTTTCCAAAGTTGACTGTCAGGTCCTGGGTAAGCGAATCTTTTCCGGGAAAGAGAAGTAGTTCAGGCTTGTCGGGGTTGATTTTCAGATGGTGGGCGGACATCCACTGAGAGATGTCAGTTAGACAGGCAGAGATCCGAGCTGCCACCTGGGTGTCCGAGTGAGGGAAGGAGAGAATTAGTTGGGTGTCATCGGCATAAAATGGTAATATGGTAAAAGAGAAGCCATGCGAGCGAATGACAGCGCCAAGAGAGTTGGTGTAAAGCGAGAACAGGAGGGGACCCAGCACGGAACCCTGAGGAACTCCAGTAGTAAGAGGACAAGGTTCCGACACAGATCCTTGCCAGGTTACCCGGTAGGTGCGGCCGTCGAGGTAGGACGAGAAAAGGGAGAGAGCAGAGCCTGTGACACCGAGTTCCTGAAGGGAGGAAATAAGGATCTGGTGGTTGACCGTGTCAAATGCAGCAGAGAGGTCCAGAAGGATGAGCGTCTTCTCAAGCAACAACAATTTATTTACAATTGAAGTGAAATCAAACATATCCACATCTCTACACTTTTGCCTGACAACATACTTCAAAATACAAACAATACAAATTCACAGACTAAACAATAGACGCTTACATTACTATCATACTTTTTGTCAAGATAACCGTGACTTTGGCAAAGTGGCCACAGCTACTGTGGCGTAGTGAGAAGGACACCACTGGAGATGGATTGGTCCATTGCGTTAGAAGCAGCTGCCTTGTTGACGGCAGAAGGATAAAGCTAACAAACCCACATAATGCGACCATGTTATTTTAGCCCAGAACCAGCAGGCTAGCAACTCAAAAGTAATATTAACTGGTGATAATTAGGCTTTTATAATCCTTGGGAGAGTAATAAGGTTATGTCTGTTCCCTTTAATCTCGAACAATGTCAGTGGTAAACTAAGCACGGTCTGTGTCTGTAATGTGCAGGAAAAACATCAGCCTGAAGCTACAGATGTAGAGCAGTTGGTGATGCATCAGCATCAAGGGTTCAGGTGAGACGCCAAATTGTCCATTTTGGTAAACATTGCCTTGAATTGCTGTTTTCTAAGGGATGTTAAGACAATGTTACCCTTGAGTGTTATTGTTCACACTGGCTATTATCTGAATAATTATTTTACATTTATGTGATGAGTAGCTCCCTCTACCTGTTTGGCCACAGCACTTTAATTAGTGATTCCCAACAGGTGAGGCCAGATTACTTCCTGGTTTAAATGTAGGGTTCGCCCCAGGTTTCCCGAGCTCCACACTTGTCTCGGGAACGACTACGGCAGGACTGGGCGCTGAAGGACTAGTCGTGGAGCTCCCACGCCATCTGTGCAGTCTCCAGGTGTGTCTGTTTTTGTAGTGGAGCGGGGATGTTTTTGTTTTTGTGTGGATATGCTCCATAGCGGTGCCGTGATGTTGGGTGGAGTTTTATTAGTTGTGTGTGACATGTGCTTATTTGTTTTGTGGCAGGAACGGGGAAGTGATGTCGGCTTTTCGGTGATTGCGGAGTTCACTGCTGTTTTTGCCCCTTCGCAAATATATTTTGTATTTATGGTTACTTTGTTTTATCCAGTATTTTGATTATGCATTGTTGTTGGTTTTTTTTTCTTTCCAGACAAGTTGTTTAGTTTCTTTGTTCTTTTCTTCCGTAAACCTACTGGAGTGTGTCCTACACTGGGGTCCTCAATGCCAGTGCAGGTGGGCTGATCATAGGTCTATAGGTCGTGGTTCACAGGTGGAGGGCTTCCTCATTCATAGTTTAT